GGGGGGGGGGGGGGGGGGGGGGGGGGGGGGGGGTACTCATGAAAACGCATATCGGCGACGTTAGACCATTGACCGCGCATCCCTACAATGCCGATATGGAGCGATGATATGCCGAGTTTTCGCCGGCCCAGGCTACGTTTTGCAAGGATGAACCACAAGCTGGTTGTCATGCGGGGGGAGGGGGGGGGGAAACAAACGCTTTCGCCCGTTCGATCACGTTTCTTGCCAAACGGTGCATGTTTCTAGCTGAAAATCCGCGTGAAGGAGGGAAATCGTGTCGGTAGCAAGCGGGTACAGCGTGAACGCGGATCAAGGTCAACGTACACAGATTTGAGAAAAAGAGGTACACGAGAGGGATACATGGAGACCGAGATCGAGCGAGCGAGAGACAGAGATAAAGATACAGACACAGATGGGACGAGAGCGAGACAGAGGCAGAGGCACCTTTCTTGCGGCTGCCGCAGATAGCACCCGACGTAGCGGCCGGCACGAGCAACCCCAGGAACGCCGAACGGGACACCCACGAGTCCACATCCTCCGGCGAGGTTCGCTTCCCGAACGCCTCCATGGCCAGCTCCGCTACTCGCAAGAACGGGACCGACAGCTGCGCCGGCAAGGGCGACGGCAACCTACGGCCCGCGCCATCACCGTCGCCGACAAGCCCGTGGCTCTCTTCGTACTGTTGGTTGTCGCTTGTCACTCCTCCGACCGCCTCGCTGGCACTACTGCCGGTGGTGGATTCCGGCTCCTCGTCGTCGGCGACAACCGACGCTCCACCGAAGCTTCGCACGAGGGTCAACACCTCGGCGCGGGCCCACAACACCACCGAAGGGGCAGCAGCTTCGTCGTTACCGCCGCCGCCGCCGCCGTCGCTTGCCCCCAAACTGGGGTCTCCTTCCCTGCAGAAGAGGCCAAGCCTCGGGGCAAGAACTCCCCAAGCCTTACCATTCACGGCCGCCGCCGCCGCCGCCGCCGCCGCCGCCGCCCCGGCATCACGGTGACTCCCGCCCCACCCCCCGGATCCGGTTGCAGCGACGGTGCAAATCCGCCGGAGTGCCTTGAGTGCCTGTGCACGGTCGACCTGGTCGCCAGAAACCAACCGCGCCAAGATCGCTGCGATCGCGGCGGTGTAGACGCAGGAGGGGTTCAGCAGCTCCGTCGCCGCTGCTCCTTGCTTCGCGGAGGCTTCCCCCGCAGTGGCTGCCCAAGCCTCTTCGGTGGCCCGAACCCCTAGCGCTGCTTGCATGGCCGAGCAAACGGCATCTACTGCAACGGGGGGGGCGCCCATGGCCACCATGTCTGCCGCAACCCCGGCAGCAGCGGAGACCGCGCGCTCTTGTTGCAGCGTGGCCGTCTCTGCGCCGCTATTACCATCACTACTGCGGGCTCTGTTCGACGCTGCCCAGGCCATCTCGAGCTCACGGCCCACCACTTCCCGGGGCGCCACGACGTCGAGAGCGTCCAAGAGGCCGCTCAGGCCGGCAAGAGTCGCTGCAGCCGCCGAAGCCGCCTCCGCGCTACCGCTGCCCTCGGCGACTACCGCCGCCGCCGCCGCCAGGAGCCTTCGCCTGCACCGCACCGTGAGACGCAAGGGTGCCATTCTGTTGTCCGCGGGGGCCGGCGAGGATGTCGCCGCGGCGGTCGTTCTGCGGCAGGGGTAGTACCCCCGGTGGTCGCCGGCAGCGTGGGGGGCGCAGACAGCCGCGGCCAAGTCGACCAAGTCATGCGCCGCCATCTTGGGGAGCAGGGGGGAGAGGAGGTGGTACACGGAGGCAGATAATGCTTCCGCCTCCTCTTCCTCGCCGCTGCCGGTGATGAGGGCACCGCGCAACAGGTCCATATCCTCCGGAGACAGCCCGCCGGTCTCGCCGCAGAGCACCCGCTGCGCCACCGCCAGGTACACTGCCGAGACCGACATTCCGGGGATCCGCGCCGCCAGCTTCGACAGTACCGCGACGTGCTCGAGCCCCGCGACCGACCGTACCTCGGCCATGGCCCGCGCTCGCGCCGCCGCCAGCCCTGCCGCCGTCCTTTGCGTCGCGGCGGCGCCGCCGGCGCCGCTTCTAGTGCTGGTGCTGTCGTTGCTGGACGGCGCCGAAGAGTTTCCGGCGAACGCGGCGGCGGCGGCGGCCCCCGCTTCGGGGTCGGCGAGCGGGTCCGCCAGCGGATCGTCCCCGATGAGAGCTTTGTAGTCGAGCCCTGGCGGGGCGGCCTTCAGGAGCCGTCTCATGAGCCCAATGTGCGCGTTGAGCCGCCTCTCGATTGGATTCTTCGCACCGCCGCCGATGGCGCCGCCCGCCTCGGCACCGCCCGACGGCCCGGATCTCGCCGACGCTTCGGACATCAACCGGAGGAGAAGATCGAGGTGATGGAGGTCGTCCCCGCCCGCGGCACCGACGAACACGTCGCGCACGACCTGCAGAGCGTCCTGCCCTCCCCGGCCGCCGCCGTCGCCGCCGCCGCCGCCGCCGCCGCCGTCCAACAACGCGTCCAACAACGCACCGCCTCCTCCTGCCCCGCCGTTTCTCAGCTCTGTCTCCACCCGGGTGACGGCAGCAGGGGCGGCGACTCCCTTGCTCCGTAGATTGGCGTAACCCCGGCCCAGCAGAGCGGTTGTGGCCGCCGCGGCGACTCTCCAGACGTCCGTGTCCGGGTACTCGCGCGCGAGGGCGATGACGCCACGAGGGTCCTTCCCCCCGCCGGTGGCAGTAGAAGAAGAAGCTGCCCATGAGGCCACCGCGTCCGTGGCTGCCCTTTCGAGTTCAGCCTGGGTAAGCATTCATAAGTCGCGTGTTAAAACGCAAGACCAGCAGCACAAACCTCAAGGCATCAACAGCAGCGGAGACACAACCTTAGAAACGGGCCTTACTCTTCTTCTAGGCAAAGTATTTCCGCTCCAATTTTAGAACGATGGGGTGACTGCCATCCTTCCGCCGGTGTGATCTTCTCGCCAACATCCGCCTGATCTGGGATCAAGCACCGTGGAAAAACGAACGTATTAGTCGAACAATGAACAAAACACCCACCGTCCGGCTTTTCCATCAACAAACAGCCACAAAATAATAGGGAACAATAGGAAACCTATACTTTGGAGGCGTGGAAAGGAAGCAATGTAATAGTACCGAGCGGTCGCTCACCCCTTACAGAGGAGGATACCGACTTTCACAACTGGAACGCTTCACGACTAAGAGGCCACATATTGCCAATGCCGCAAAGGGTTACCTTGGGAAATACCTGTTCGAGACGAAACCTTTTCCTGCACCAGTCGGTCGGTCTTCCTACCTCTCGTGGGCTGTGGGGCACTCGAGTTACTACATGTTTGATCATCGCTCGCGTTTACACGTCATGAGAACAAAAACGCCATACCTATCGCTGTCATGCCATTCTTACCGCACAAAGTGTGGAGTGTGAGCGATCAATCATACATCGATTGCTCCATAACCCAGAGGGTATGAAGCTCGGCCGGCACGTGCAAGGAAATACAGCAAGATCTTGACATCTTTCCGAAACCGGCATTGATAAAGCCCTCATGTGTGTGGAGAAATCGAGCAAAAAAATAGTCAATCGAATTGTGTACCTGTGCGATTCACCCCGCACTTTTACTACTGTGTGGCGCTTGAGAGCACAAGCTGTCTGGTACGAAGATCCCAACAACCCTGACAAAACTATACACGCGGGCTCGCTCTTGATCCGCTCCGAATGCGGCGTAGTCACCTAACGTGTCAGGTCGTCCATGCTGAAAACCGTGCTGTTTCATTGCCTTAAACAGCCGGACCTCTCCTCTCCTCTCCTCTCTTACCGGAGACCTCGCACCTTCAAGTTGGTCTCCAGAATGACCATCATGACGATCATGACCATCATGACCATCATGACCATCATGACCATCATGACCATCATGACCATCATGACCATCATGACCATGGACCCATCACTGCATCTCGACTGCTGTTTCTGCACGAGTTCCGGGGCTTGTTTTTCTACCGCCCAAAAACAGCGCAACGCCCCCACGGCGGCACACGCACCTGGCGATACCGAGGGTCCCCCGCGAACCTTCCGAGATCCACCGTCGCCGGCAAGATACCCCTCGCCTTCTCCTCCGCCAGCCCCAGGCTCTGCCGTTGCCGGAACGAAGTTATCACGGCGAGTAGCTCCTCCATCTCCTCCTCAACGGCGGGGAAAACCGCTTCGACGCCGCCGCCACCGCCGCCGCCGGTATTCCCGTTGACCACGGCCAGCCTAGCGTGCACGTAGGCCTCCAGGGCGGCGGCCGCCCTATCACGCGATCTCATCGCCGCCCGCATCCTGCCGTCCCCGCCGCTGCTCCCACTGCTGCCGTCGATTTTGCTAGCCTGGCGCCCGCTGCCGCCGCTTGTCGGCGCCGGCGGCGCCCGGCGCGACGAGATGAAGGGAGCGTCCATGGCCGGGTCGGCCGAGTGCTCGACGCACCAGGCGATGGCGGCCTCGCGCGAGGCGTTACGAGTGGCGACGCAGGCGCGGCGGGCCCGGTTGGAGGAGATGCCCCTCTTGCCGAGCGCTTGGACAAGGCTCTCGTCGGGGTCTATGATGACGGCCGCCGACACGACCGCCTGTTGGTGTTGCGAGCGATACCGCCGGAGTTCGTGTTGGGGTTTCGGCCGCAGCAGGGGTGGGGGGGACGGAAAGCGGGTCGGCAACGAAGAGGATTTGAGTGCCGAGAACGAGAGAAAGTCAGAGAGTGAGAGAGAGGAGGGGGGGGGGCTACTGCCCAGGTCAGACTCAACTCGTCGTGGAAAATGCTGCACAACGACTCGCTCGCCTCCTACCTGACAGACCAAGCCACCCACCAATTAATGCAGCACCCATGTTGCCGGCAACAAGTGACCGAAGCGCGTTAGAGCGCCGGCGGTGAGCAGCTGAAACTCGGGGAATAACAACAACCGTATCGCGAGCAGAAGCAGATTTGCTCGCGCACCCGTCACGAACTTCTGCAACTCACAAAACGGCGGCACGACCTGAAGAAACCGTAAGACCATCACCTCAATCGATCACACCCCGAGCTCAGTACCACCTTCGGTAGCACGCCCGGGCCCGACTTGCGACGCCGCCCGGACAAGCGCGACAACACACATATAACAGCATCACAGCAAGCCTAACAAGACAACCTTCTCCAAAATATGAGTCACAACCACCACCTCGTCGTCTGCTCCGGTCCGTCGCCCCCCGCCGGCTCCGCCTCTATCCTCCGCCGCCGCCGCCTCCGAATCCTCTCTTAGACCCATAACTCCCTCCTCCGCCCGCTCCAGCGACGCCCGGAGAGCGCCGAGAGCCGCTCGGCCGTCCGCGGCGGCGAGGGCGTACCCGACGGCGCGCTCGACCGCTCCGACCCCGAACTCGTCGGCCGCTTCCCGTGCCGCGGCCGCCGCCCCCGGTCCCGCCGCCGCCGCCGCGGCTTCGACCGAGCCACCTTGGTTGCCGTAGGCAGAAGAAGAAGGTTGTTTTGGGCCACTTGCGGTGTCTGAATCTGTGACTTCCTCTTCCTCTTCCGACAATCGTAGCTCGGCCAGGGCTAGGAGGATACACAGGCGGCTCGTCGCTTCTCTCCTCGCTGAATCATCGAGCATGGCCGCCGTTTCTGCTGCCTCCGTCGAGCCGGCGTATTCTTCCAGCGTTTCCGTCGTCGCCGCGCCATCCCCGTCCCCTGCTGCGTCGCGGGAAAACGGAGACAGCAAGCACGAGTCGTGCTCCCGAAGAAAGAGAACGCGCAGAGCTCCCTCCGCCGCCCCGCCGCCAACTCCCAAACGGCGGTTCAACCAAGATGAGGAATCGTCGCTGCCGCTACCCTCCCCCGCTTGGAAGCCGACGACTAGCGATCGCTCCACCGACGCGGCGGCGCGCTCGTCCATCCCCCCCTCCACCAGTACGCTCGCGACGGCTGCGGGGCCCCCACCTCCACCCCCGTCGCAGGGACTCCTACCGGCGCCTTCGGCAACGCCGGCACCGCCGCTGTAAGCGGTCGGCGTAGCAGCAGCAGCAGCCCCCGCAAGGTAGCAGACGGCCTCAAAGCGAGACCAGGACCGTAAAAGCCGGCCTATCTGGGAGGCAGGGCAGCGGGACAGGGCCTGCGCGCAGAGGTCCGCCGTTCGAGCGGGGGAAGGGGCACCCGTCGCAGCCGTGCCAACACGCGGGGCTCCCGACCCCCCCCACTCCACCACCAGATCGAGTGCCTCGCACAGCTCCGGCGCGAAGGGCACCACCACCGTGCCCCCGTCTTCCTCCCCCCGCCGCCGCCCGCGAGGGGGGCGACGCAGAATGGCGACCGACAGGATGTCGCAGGCCGCTCTGCCGTCGCCAGCTTCGAGGGCGGCCCTGGCCACGAGCGCCCTGACGCGGTCGATCTCTTCGCCGGAAGTTAGGCCCAGGAGGCCCGCTAGACGCATCAGGCCCGTGCCGGGAGGGGTGCGGATGAGACCCCCCTGAACCTCGCCGCGAGGAAAAAGAAAAGAGAAGGGTGGAGGGGGATAAGGGGTTTGTGTGCTCACTTAAACGCACAAGCCGCAGTCGTTAGACCATTAGCCTCGCATCCCTAGAGAGGCCGGGGCGGAGCACGCCGAGTTGTCACCGGACCAGGCTCTCACACCACCAAGCGCTGGGGGTGGTGCGAACAGTAACAATCGCGGCATCCTCATCTTAGCAGTTGTGCCCGACAGCATGGCGTGTCTTGCTGTGAGCGCCATATTTGTCGTGTCGAAGTAGCGCGTTGTTGGACTTTGACTTGATTCGAAGGGAAATGAAGGGAACTAAAGCCTGGTGGAGAAGGCGTGGCAAGGGCGAGGAGGAGCCTGACTTGAGGGCTGTTTTTCCTTAGCCTACACAGGGCCCCGTTGTCATTGAAACTGGGAATTTTCAGTGCCTGTGCGGGGGTGAGCTTCATCAAACGTCTTGTTTGAGGCCGTGACCTGAGCTGTCACCACGGCCACCACCGCCGTCGAGGCAGGGAAGAGTGAGGCCGGCATGCCGTCGGCGACATGACACAATGCGCCACACACCCCGGAGCAAACCATTTGTCAAAGCTCGATCGCTCCACCGTGGTATCATGGAGAGAATGGCGGTGCCGAAAATGACGGCGGCGGAACTGTCTCGTCGGGATCTTTCCGAAAACACGTGGTTTGATTCTTGAATCCTCTTTGCTTGGACGCAGCCGTCGAGCTTTGAGACTAGGTCCAGGGGGTGTGTATCTCGTACCACCTACGGCGGTACATGCTCAGTTTCACGAGCGCTGTTATCTTGAAGCCGGCAACCATATTGACGGCGTCGGCGTGACATACACAAGACGCATCACAACACACGCGCACGCAGCTCGCCGAATAGAGAAAACAAGCAAGCGCAGCCCACAGCACTCCGTACCTTTCCAGCGCCGAACAGGCCTTCGCCCTCGCCCCCCCATCCCCCGTCACCCCCCTCTTCCAACGCGGAGCCCCCTCCGTCCCTGAAGGAGTCCGGGTTGCAGCGTAAGACTTCTTGGATGACCCCCATTGCTCCGTCAGCAGCAGCTGCGGTAAAACCCGCCGTCAGTCGGCCAATAGCCGGAAGAACCAACGCCAAAGAAAGCAGCAGTATGCGTGTTTGAATCATGAACAATCACCATCGGAAACAACAAAAAGGGCAAAGGTATTCGTGTTCTGTTCGCACGGAATAGGGACAAAACCGAAATCAGGCACTCGTGGACGGGGCGTCAATGGAGCAGATGGCCAGAACACGTGGAACCAACGACAGCAGCAGCAGCAGCAGCAGCAGCAGCAGCAGCAGCAGCAATAGCAGCAACGACAAGGAACCAACGTTCGCCCTCACCAACACTTCCACTGGCGGAAGACGAATCGCGGTCGCCGAGACGGAGACGGAGCTGTAGCGGGACTAGGTCAACCGCGCCGAGGTCGTGCGCGAGCCTTCCGGCGTCATGAAGGCTCCTCTCTCGATCCAGGGCCGGAGAGGACCACGGCAAGAGGTCCAGCCATCTCTGAGCCCACCGCAGCTGCTCGTCGCGGTCGTCGTCGTCGTCGTCGTCGTCGTCGTCGTTGTTGTCGTTGTTGCGTGACAAAAGACAAGACAAGACAAGTGTTTAACGTTAGAAAGGACCTTGTTTCGGAGACTAAAAAGAAACGCTGTTGGAGGAAAACGCTGTTGTTGGAGGTCTCCGATTAATGCAAAACATGGCAACCAAAACAACATAAAACACACGGAACCGAATGCCACACATCCTCTCAAGCCACCGAGATCGGCCTCCGAATGGCCAACAAAGGTGCGGTTGTTGCTATTGCTGTATTCACATCCAAAACCTTCCCGATCTCTCTGGCCAGTACCTGCACTTGTCCGTGCTGATCTACCCCCTTGACGTGGTCGATTCCCGTGCGGCATGCAACGGGACCACGAGCAATATAAATCGGCAATATTTTTCATTCGATAAACGGAGGGTAGGGGCACCGCAAACGGGTACGGGCTGTTCTTGCCTGCTTACCTCTTCTCCGTCCTCGAAGGAGGGGGCGGCGTTAAAGTGAGCCGTCGCTGCCGAGAGCAGGACGTCTTCGGCGATCGATCTTCTCTCCTGACGTTTCGCCTCTTCCGTCTGTCCACGAGAGCGGGGGGTAGGAACGCATCCAAAGACAGGACTAAAGGTGCCTCCGCGGTCCGCCCCGACATAATGAGGGCAGCGTCGTGTCTAGCTTCGAAGAAGCCGAGGAAATGTAACCTTGATGTAGATGTAAACCTTCGACGGATCCGGCGGGTTCAACACACGCGAGGAAGGCGACAACACTGGGAATTTATTCTATTTCTACCGATAGACGACACCCAAGAAGCATGCACCTCATCGTCGGCCGGACTTCCAGCGCGCCCGTCATCCTCGCCCACTTCTCCTCCGCCAGCCCCAACCGTCGGCGCGAGGGAGCTCTCGACAAGCGCCCTGGCGACGTCGAACTGGCCGCCCTCGACCACGGCCTGGAGGACCCTGCGGATGGCCCACTTGGTGCCAAGACCCTGACGAAACCGGTAAGACGCCAGAGAGAGGGGGAGAGAGGGGCGAGGGGGAGAGGGGCGGAAGTGAGGATGAGTGGGAGGGAGAAAGAAAGAGGTACAGGCAGGAGGAGGGAGACATAAAGAGAGAGGGAGAGAGAGAGAAGGGGGGTAATTGAGGGTGTTGTCAGCGGAAAATGTTGCGGTGCGCCTCTTGTTGGCATGCTGGTGCTGCGGAAGGTCCATGCTGTTGTGTTGCCGCACATGTGCGAATCGACGGCCCGGGGAATGGCAGGAATCAATCCACCTTCTTCCTTTTCCTCACCTGCCACGCGTTGGACTGCAGCCGGGATACGTCCTTGTGCAACCGCAGTATCGCCTCCCTCCCCACCCCGTCCAGCACGACCCCGCCACCTCCCGCACGCCGACCCCCGCGTCCAACCATCTTCGCCCCGCGTTGCCAGATTCGACCAACCTTGGACGACCCTCTCCCGCGGCTAGAATGATCGGTCGAGCCCATGCCCGAGCGGTCCATGGTGACCGCGCACATCTGGTCCACGAGCCCTCTTGCGAAAGCGTTGTACCTGAAGGAGGAGGCGATTTGCGTGGGGTACAAACAGACTCTGGAATATATATGTATGTATTGTCTCCCATTTCTGGACTCTGTCGACTGCCCCTCTGGCCTCTATCCTCCACTTCAACCAGCTAGACGACCCAACCGGGGTCACATAGGAGGGGGGGGTTGGACCCCCTCCTGCGGTTCCTGCCTGAGGTATTTTTATCGCGAGAAGGGTACAGCAATCTCTTCCCTCGATCAAGTTTACTAACAACGAGCTTTGCAGCGCGTCGCTTCCAACGGAGACCAGGATTTAATTAGCGAGAAAAAACTCTCTCTGTCGGGACTCGAACCCATGACCTGGCCCTCAGCAGGCTGCGAGGCTACCCACTAGACCACCGGGGCGACCGGTGGTATATGATACGGGGGGTATTCCTTGTGCGCAGGCATGGAACACGTAGGGGGAAGTTCGAAGTTTACATGGGTTGGGGGTGCCATGGCCATCAGACCGGGGGATGGGCGTGGAAACAATAAAAGTTACCCACAAAAACAAAAAACACAGGGGGGACCACCAACGCTCACGAATAGATAACGAGAAAAGCAGTGTTTCAGCCTGACGGGCACAGCACACATCTCTTGGTGCACGTACGGTATACATACATGCCACCCCCCCAAAAAAAAGGGACGTGTGGATCCAGGAACCGCAAGGGGTGGATAGATTCCACGGAGGCACGTCGCCAACACGCCCCGCACATCAGCACGCACCTATCGGCATCGCGGCCTGCGGTGCCCTCCGCGCCTCCGCCCATCTCCAGATACCTGATCAGCGGCGGGGCCAGTCCGTACCTGCAGAGCATAGACAAGGGGGGGNCGCGAGTGAAAGCTAGAATTGTACATGGGGCGTTTCATACCACGGCGCCACTCTCGCGAGAGCAAATACGAATTTGGCACATTATGTATCTCTCCTGCGAGATGGAGAAGTCGACACATCAGATACCGTACATATGCGGGAAGAGGCACACACGTGACGATCGAGTTTTAGAACACCACCGGAAGAGTGCGAGCGACCGAGTAGGTGTCCGATCGACTGATGTTCTTAACCATCGATTGGTCCACAAGCAAAGAGGGTATAGCACCTGACCGACCCGTGCAAGGAGAGACACTTATCGGCGACGACTTTCTAAGGCTACCCGCTTCTGCGACTTTCTACTGCATCCTCATGGTTGGGGAGCAACCAACCTTTCACAATTCACAATTCACAATTCACTGCACACCAAATACGCATTCGCTAGCACATTAAGGCACATTAAGGCACATTAAGGCACATTGAGGTACAGTCGACCCCGCTCTAAAGACACACCACGTTTTCCCCCCAAAAAAAGTGCCTTTAACGCGGGCAAGTGTCTTTGACATTCCGGGGCCACTAGCGCACCATCCCCGGGGCCAATGAAGGCCAAACATATGTCAAAAGGTGCTCATTCGCAGCAGAAAGGCGACCACAAGAGATGTTGTCTGAAACCTACGACACAAGGTGATTTGAAGGTCGCAACCACTGCTGCTATTGTGCTGCAATACATACTTGCATACCATCGTTTGGATTTCCCCGTACTTTACCACCAAAACGCTGAAAGCGATGGTGTTCTACGCCCTACGCATTGTACATGTACACGACGGTAGTGCGCTGGTGTTGATATGGACTTAATTATTTGCTTTATTATATTTTTTAGGCGTTGTCCTCCCCGTGAATATTTTGCCAAAGATCTCGCTACCGCACCTGAGAAATATCGAACGTTGTCAAACAACACTAGGAAAATGTAGGTTACGCAGAAACACAGAGACCAAAAATGTCGGGGAAGCACAGCGACAAAGAGGACACCGCGCCTCCCAAAAGGTCAAAACGAGGCACAACACACCACAAACGCCAAATTCAACCTCACGAGAGTTCACCCGAGGCAAACAACGAACGTTGGCAATAAAAGTGCTTTGCTCTTCTGGCAATCCGAGCACTCTCTTTGCTGTCCGTGGCCTTCCTCTCCGATGCCCCGACCACAAAACGCGTGCATGGGTCGCCCGCACGGACACTGATGAACCAGTGACACCAGTGCAGATTTGAATGGCACGTCGGTTGGCCGCATGGCTTCGAGCCGGCAGCAGACGAACCGCTAGTAGATGGAATGAATCTTTCCATATACCCACACGGAGCGTGCGGCTGCAGCAGACCGCTGTTGATAATCCAGGATCTACAGGTGCTGCAGCACATTTTCTGGGGGGGGGGGTCGAATGGTGGAATAGCCTACCCCCCCCCGTAGTTTTTCACATCTGCGGGGCACCGTGTTTCTGAGATTTTTTGTGTCCTTAAAGCGGGGAGTGCCTTCAAAAATGGTGTCTCTACAGCGGGGACGACTGTACATTAAGGCACATCAAGGCACACTAAGGCACATTGAGGGAAATCGCACGCACACAACACACTAAGACGCCGAAAGGGCGTTGTGCTCACCAACAGAGCAACAGAGCAACAGAGCAACAGAGCAACAGAGCAACAGAGCAACAAGGGAGAAAAGTGCACACAAACCAAGGGGACGTGACGTTGCTGCCCCACTCCTACCCCTATTGCTCTCACTCTCTCTCTCTCTCTCACTCTCTCTCTCTCTCACTCTCTCTCTCTCTCACACTCTCTCTCTCTCTCTCTCTCTCTCTCTCTCTC